TAAAAAAAAACAACAACAATGGACAGACAGAACCCTAGGACAAATGGTGAAAGCAAAGCTATACAGAGAAAATCTCACACAGAAACGTACACATACACACTCACAAAAAGAGGAAAAAGGGAAAAAATGGTCTATCTTGCTCTCAAAGTCCACCTCCTCAATTTGGAATGATTCTTTGTCTATTCAGGTATTCTACAGATGCAGGGTACATCAAGTTGATTGTGGAGATTTAATCCATTGCTCTTGAGGCTGCTGGGAGAGATTTCCCTTTCTCTTCTTTGTTCGCACAGCTACCAGGGTTCAGCTTTGGATTTGGCCCCGCTTCTGCGGGTAGGTCACCTGAGGGTGTCTGTTCTTTGCTCAGACAGGACCGGGTTAAAGGAGCAGCTGCTTCAGGGGCTCTGGCTCACTCAGCCCGGGAGGGAGGAGGGGCACGGAGTGCAGGGCGAGCCCGGCGGCAGAGGCCAGCGTGACGTTACAACAGCCTGAGGCGTGCCGTGCGTTCTCCCGGAGAAGTTGTCCCTGGATCCCGGGACCCTGGCAGTGGCGGGCTGCACAGGCTCCCCGGAAGGGAGGTGGGGAGAGTGACCTGTGCTCACACACAGGCTTCTTGGTGGACGCAGGAGCAGCCTTAGCGTCTCATGCCCGCCTCTGGGGTCCACGCTGTTAGCCACGGCTCGCACCTGTCTCTGGAGTTCCTTTAAGCAGCGCTCTTAATCCCCTCTCCTTGCTCACCAGGAAACAAAGAGGCAAGAAAAGTTTCTTGCCTCTTCTGCAGGTCCAGGCTTGTTTCCAGAATCCCTCCCGGCTAGCCGTGGTGCACTAACCCCTTCAGGCTGTGTTCACGCCGCCAGTCCTCTCCCTACGATTGGACCGAAGCCTGAGCCTCAGCTCCCAGCCCCCACCCACCCCAGCGGGTGAGCAGACAAGCCTCTTGGGCTGGTGAGTGCTGGTCGCACCGATCCTCTGTGCGGGAATCTCTCCGCTTTGCCCTCCGCACCCCTGTTGCTGTGCTCTCCTCCATGGCTCTGAAGCTTCCCCCCTCCGCCACCCACAGTCTCCGCCCACAAAGGGGCTTCCTAGTGTGTGGAAACCTTGCCTCCTTCACGGCTCCCTCCCACTGGTGCAGGTCCCGTCCCTATTCTTTTGTCTCTGTTTTTTCCTTTTTCTTTTGCCGTACCCAGGTACGTTGGGAGTTTCTTGCCTTTTGGGAGGTCTGAAGGTCTTCTGCCAGCGTTCAGTGGGTGTTCTGTAGGAGTTGTTCCACATGTAGATGTATTTCTGGGGAGGAAGGTGATGTCCGCCTCTTACTCTTCCACCATCTTCTCAAATCCTATTGATTTCCTCTTTTTTGATAGCTGTATTCTTTAGTGAATTGTTTATTCATCCTTTGTTGATTTATTTATGGGGAAATAAGTATTTTTAAATTAATTTTCATATATTTTTAATCTAATAAAGAAATCATGTCTGTTGAAAATATCTTTTAGTGTCTAGTTGTGATCTATTTTGCTAATTTTGTTTATCTATAGAAGCTCTAAATTTTCTTTGAGGTAGATTTTATCACTTTTAAATTAGAAAAGGCATATTTCTTCAAGAATTTTGATAAATATTTGATTATTTATCTTTGCTTTGATTTATTTTTAATATTTATCACTTTTTCCACATGGAATTTGTTTTGATACATAATATAATAGTATATACAACTTACATCCTTCAAACTGCTGTCCAGTCATTCAAGTATTTATAGAATAATCCTTTCTTCCTGTTTTGATTTGCGAAGCTCTCCTGATCACATATTAAAGTATTCATTATAATATTGTTTATTAATGGAGTATTTCTTTCCATAGATAAATTTAGTTATCTATTCTAATTTTAGCACAGATGTCCACTTTCCAAACTTTAAGTTTATGGTTTCTAATAGATGAAGGCAACATTTAGAAAGTTAGGAGCTTCATCTATATAAAACTATTTTTTTCCATACCTCAATTATCTCAGTATTATATCTAGTCTCCCCAGGAGTTAAAAGTGGCCCTCCGGTTTCCAATTTCCCAAGTGTCCCACTCAGTGATAACTTATTAAAGGGAATGACTCTCTAATACCTCCTCCCTCTTTATTTCTCAACTGGGTACATCCCTCTTTATTGTCTGGAGCTCAAAACATAATTGCCTGAAAACTCTCTGACCCATCATAAGGGTGTGTAGTCTCTATTAGATTTAGGAAAGACAAAATTAGTAATTCTTTTTTGATGCAAGAATTCAACTTCCGAGTGGAGGAAACATTTTTTTTTTTAACCTAAGCAAATTACATTTGAAGAGATCTTTAAAAAGGGAAGGGAAACTCATAACTCTATTTCTCCCAGCTAACTCTTAATTCCTCAGGAAGTAAAACTGGTTCATGCGTTGTACAGCCTCTTAGCACAGTGCAACTTTCCTTTAGAGCATCCATCAGAGTTTGTAATGTTGTCTTTACCTGTTTCATGACTTAATTAATGTTTCTATACTCCACTACCTACAATAATAATAGTCAACATTTATTGAGCGCTTACTCTGAATGCATATGAAATGTGTCGGAAACTTTGTATGGATCTTCTCACTTAATTCTTATAGCAACTTTCTCAAGTAGGTACTATAATTATTCCTAGGTAAGTATTATTAGTGTTCCCATTTTTAGATGAGAAAGATGGAGCCACAGAGAGATTAATAAATATCCCTTGAGGTGACATTGCTAGTGAGGTTGACCAGGCTTTCAATCCAGGTAGCCTGATTCCAGATGCCACATTCTTCACCTCTAGGCCAGCGCTTTCCAATACAATATTCTGCGATGATAGAAAGGTTCTCTATATATGCTATCTAATATGATAGCCACTAGCATGTGTGAGCATTTGAAATGTTGCTAGTGTGACTGAGGATTGGATTTTTAACTTAATTTCAATGAATTTAGATAGCCATGTGTGGTTACTGGCTACTGTACTGGACAGCAGAGCTCTAGAAGCTGCTGGGCAAAAATTTCCAGGAATGATTGTACCCATTTTTGCTTATCATTCTACCCTGGTTCTGGCACAATACCCCACATAATTTGTATTTATTGACTAAAACAAATAACTCAGAAGTGGTAGGATGGGGAGATGATAAGTGAAAACAGTGCTCTGAAAGCACCAAATTGTAAAGGATGCTCACCTCCAATGAAATCTCTCAAGCTTGTTTGGCATAAGTTTCATTTTTAAAACAGCACAAAATAAACATAATAAGATGAGTATTAGGGATTCATTTGGTAACATTGAGGATATTCTTATAACTCATAGTTAATAAGAAGGGAAGAGGGAAATGGCATCAAATAGTAACCTCTGAGAATCGGCACTTATCTGACAAGAAATGAATTTAATGTCAAAATACACTTTCTGGGCTATATTTCTATCATAAGCCAAAAAATCCTAGTAGTTGTTTGTAAGGTGGTGAATGACAAGCTCATTCACACTCTTTTCCCCAGAAAACACTCTAATGTTTTTCTGCCTATTACTGAATGCATCTTTCTTGTTGGAAGTATCTGTCTGAGCTATATCTGGTTTTACATTCTATCACCTGGTATACGTATTTGTTGTCATTGCTCAGAACAATAATCTAACAGATTAAGAGTGTAAAGAGACTCAACTCTATTTGGCAATTAAATGTCAGAAAGTATTTCCCTATTGGTCATGAATGCTGAAGTTTCTAGATAATGCACCATTAAATGTACTCAAATGTACTCATATCAAATGTATATAGGGAGGCTCAAGAGGGAGGGGATATGGGGACATATGTATGCATGTGGCTGATTCACTTTGGTGTACAACAGAAACTAACACAGTATTGTGAAGCAATTATACTCCAGTAAAGAGCTATTTAAAAAAATGTATATTAAAGCAGCACTGCATATACATTATTAGTAACTTTTAGTAGTAAAAGTAACTTCCAAATGTGCTAATGCACTTTTAGAAAACTGCATTAAATGTTCCCCGAAAAGCTGTGCTTGATTGACAAATTGCATTAATTGAAAGAGCTAGAAATTTTGGTTTGAAATAGATAATAGCATCTCAAAACTTAAAGCATTTCACATTCCTTTGTCCTGTTACATCAAGCCACTCTAGTAAGAAATTTGTACTACATGAATCTGAATGAAATTGCTCTATTGAAAAAAAAAATTAAATGGAAATGCTCACTTAAAGAACCAGAGCAGTTATAGATATTTGGCTGTGCTATGGTGGGAAAAATCTGACATCTTTGCTTTCTTCTTGTTAAGCTTTCCAGATTATTTACTTAGTTCTAGTGTTGATTCTAATGCTTTCAACTTTGTCACCATCTGTGAATTCTATATACTCTGTCTACATTACCAGTATTTCTATTCTCAGTGAAGCAAAAGGCACAATGCTCTATTTTCCTATGAGAATAAAAAGAAAAATCTTTATAATGATTTTTTCTTCAGCCGTAGGAATAAAATATGGTAAACAACAGATCTTAAATTTTTCAACTCAATGTAACTCACCACCACAAACCAAGAAATATGCCCATTTTTGCCATATTGATTTTCACTTTGGAAAACGTAATATGTTCACTTTGCTGATATATCTTATCTCATAAAAGGACTAGATAAAAATCAATAAAATAATATTGTCTTCTATCATGAAAGAAACATGAAGTTTGGTGTTGTACTATTTTTTTTTAAGATGTGTACAGTTAGATGCTTTAGGGCAATTTACGTAGGTTCTTTCTGTTCTGGTGATATTAGTAACCCATCATTCTGGTTTCTGACCAAGCACCTGCTTCTCCCTGAATATGCATTAGAGGATGCACAGGACAGTCAGCCTTGGCACTAATAAAGCTGAGTGGCCCTGCTCCCATCTCTGTTTGAACAGTAAATAGGAAAGAAGATGCTTCCCATTGGCCAGGTTAAGCACATTAGTGTCTGTGAATCCTGGGTGCAGCTGGCCAAGTGCTCCCCACTTGAATATAATGAATGGGCTTTACCTTGCACTGGCAGAGAGTACACTCAGTGCCATGTTTGATCCAAGAGGACCCAGTGAAGCGAACCACATTCATCTCGTCCAGGCAAGTTTTGGTGATGTCATTACGGATGGTATCGGCCTGGCAAGGGTCGGTGACACAGCGCGGGCAGCACTCATTCTCTAGGAGGACACTGAATTCACACTCCACCTCTGGGCAAGGCAGGGGCCAACAGTCAACTTCCCCTTGCTATAAGGAAAGCAGATGAACAAGGGCAAAGGGAGGGGGAGGGAGGGCGTGGAGGGAGGTGAGGAGGGAGAGAGCAGTGTTTACCGAATACTCAATTTATTTGATGGACATTTATACTCAGACCTTCACAGCTATGAATCTTGCAGGGAATCCACAAAATCCCTAACAGAGAGATGAGACCTATACTGAAGATGGATTATAAAACAGTCTTCAGGGGTTAAACAAGAAAAACAATAAAGGAAAGCAAAAACTCTTTCTCTTAAAACAAACAAATTTGCATGCCCTTCTCTTTCCCATGACAAAGGAGAATTGTTTACTACAGAAGAGGTTTTTAGTTTCTGCCTATGAGATGCTTTTTTCATTTTTACGATCTTTTTCCCCTACCTTCTCATTTATTCCCTTCTGAAAAAACAAAGTTTTGTCCACTGACAAGAAAGTAAACTGAAATATGAAGGAAATTTGACAGTTTTTCTTTGTTCATTTATACGTTCCTCAGTGTAGGGACTTTGGAAAAAACAAAACGAAACTAGGAGCTGATTTCAGTCTTTTTTATTCCACATGAGAAAATTGTGTGAATTGGACCTTTTTAAAATTTAGTTCCCACCTGTTTCCTATTTTCTTCATAATTCTGAGTCTCAGGGTCTTGGAGATGAAAGCAGCCTTCAGGTACAGAAACTGACCTTGCTCTTTCAATTGATTTTTGGGTTGAAAGTATAAAAAGGAAGCAACAAAAAAGCATTGCCTTAAAAATATCTTCACACAAATAGAAAGGAAACTAGTCCTAACTTTAAAAGTATCATCTGTGAAACTTTCTTCTATAAAGACATATAGACCAATTTTCCTTTTTATTTACACCACTAGAAAGAAACAAGAAATTTGGTTAAATGAAAAAATGATTGGTATTTTCCTTATCAAGTCTTCATTTTCTTTATCAAGTCTTCATTTTCTTTTTAACCTATTGTTTCCAGTAGAAGTTTCATAAATATATACATTCGATTCTAAGATTCTAGTATTTATTGCATATCCATATTATGTGTAAAACAGGGTGCCCACTAGAACAGCATTGACAGTAACAATCTTTAGAAAGAAAAAAAAGTGTGTTTTTTTTGTTTTTGTTTTCTTACATCTAAGCATAATTGACAGAAATGGATTAACAAAAAGTCTACTGGAAAAAGTGATTTTTTTTGAATGCCATTATTCTGTTCATAACTGTCTCTAAGTAAACGTAAGCTGAGAGGCCAGGAGAGCCTTTTCTTCTTTTGAGCTCTGGAGATAGTCCTGAAAGCCTGACATGACATGGTGTACCACATCTACCCCCAGATATTCCTTCTCAGGCCCTGAATGCATAACCATCACCTTATCATCCTAACCAGGTTCACTTTTTGTAACTCCCAACACTATGGCCAGGTACCAAATATCGGTGCAGGGGGGCAGGGCAAGGTTGTTTTACGATTTCAATTCTGGGTTTAAACGTTTCCCTGAAATTCACGTAGCTGAACTTACCAAGCAGCGGCACTGTTGGCAATTCTGGACCCAGGTGTCACCACTGTTGTACAAGGTTTCCCCATTTTGATGGAGGCACTGACTGCTCAGCCTTGGGTCACATTCGGGGCAGCAGAAAAGATCAACCGTGGGATTCTCACAGTCACAGACCATCCGTCGACACATTACAAATCCATTCTGTATGACAAGGGGAAAAAAGCAGTTACCAAAAACCTCCACTTCTCAATATACTAACATCATATGTATGTGTGTATCTGTGTGTGTGCACATGTGTATATACACACACATATATACATTTTATATATATTACATACTATATCTATAATCTCAGATGTTGATTTGGAAGTTGAGATAACTCACACTGTTTACCCAATATAACTGATTTTCTTTAAAATTCCATTTTGTAGCTAACACCCAGAAATTACTTAAGCTGGAGAACTTCCAATTTTCTTTCCACACATTACTCTTTAGGCTTGACTGGAAAGAAAATTTTCAGAACTAACCAGTTAAAATGATAACCACTGCATGGCTCTTATGTGTAAATAAATTGTGTATGCATATATAAATATACATTTACTTGTTTATTAATATAGTAATTTGAATACTAACTAAATTTTGTTTTGTGTGAGGGCTTATATGTTTATATTTGGTAGCTAGTCAACAAGTTTTACATATTATTAAGTTTCTAGAATATTTTAACCTTACGATTTGTACAAGCTGTTATCAATTTCTTTAGTAATAGTTGAGTCCTTGGTATTATTCATTTAACTATAATTCAAATGTCTATTATCAACTGGGTATACATAATAGAACACCTCTCTAAAACTGAAATAGAACCCAAATAGATATTTTTCACTTACAGGCCATAGCATATTCATTATGGTTTCATTTATGCATTCATTCAAATATGATATTGTGACTATAGAAACATTAGCATAGTTAGAAACAAAATTTTACCATATGAATAAATAAACACATTGTGGTATTTCCATACAATGGAATACTATGCAGTAATAAAAAGGAATGGGTTACTGATACGTGTAATGAATATAAAGGAATGTCAAAACATAATGCTGAGAGAAAGGAGTCAGACACAAAAGAGTATGGACAGTCTTCCCTTGGTATCGTGGATACCAAAATCCGTGGATGCTCAAGTCCCTTATATTAAATGGCATAGTATTTGCACATAACCTATGCACACCCTCCCGTTTACTTTAAATTATCTCTAGATTACTTATAACATCTAATACAATGTAAATATTATGTAAACAGTTGCCGGTGCGGGGGGAATTAAAGTTTTGCTTTTTTGGAACTTTCTGGAATTTTTTTTCCCAAATATTTTTAATCCACAGTTGGTTGAATCCATGGATGGGGACCCTGCAGATATGGAAGGCCAACTGTGTTATATGATTCCATTTATATGAGGCTCTAGAAAATACAAATCTAATCTATACAAACTGGAAGCAGTGTTTGCTCGAGGCTAGGGCTATGGGACTAAGAAAGGACTGAGGCAACATTTTGGGTAGGTAAAAATGTTCTGTTATATTAATTGAGTGATGGTTAAATGGACGTATGCATTTGTCTAAGTTCATCAAGCTGTACACTTGAAATATATGCAAATTACACCTCGATAAAAATGGTTACAATGTTTTGTTTATACTAACCTGACACGAGCACACAGAGCACCTGTCATTTTCCAACACCCAAATCTGACCATTGTGCTTAACTTTTCCATCATGGATGCAGTCCCCTGTGCAATTCTTTCCATGAGGACATCGGCAATCATATCCACCATCCAAGTTAAAGCAAATGGTATCATTGGCACAGCTGTGCCTCCCGGTCCCACACTCGTCAATATCTACAGCCAAGAAAAGGCAGCAGGCAAAGTGCTTAGAATATGCTCCGTTTCAAACAACTGCAATCAGGCAAGTTGTCTCCCAACATAAAGCATTCGACTGGAAATTAATTTTCATCTTACTGGCATGCATTTCCTATTAATGCTGACTAAAGCAATGTTAATGGTCTAGGGATTTCACACAAAAATATTATCATGCTTAGTTTCAAACACCAAATAACCTTGGCTAGATTTTTAACTTTTATATCTCTGTAAATACCATTAGGCTTTATGAAACATTTATATTTTTTGAAAGTTACAAATAGGACTCAATGTTTCAAACACAAATAGTTTGGCAGTGGAAATTCTAAAAGTGCCTATTTTTTTTTAATTGAGGAAATCATCCTCAGTGTTAAAATGGTGCTTACAGAAAATCCTTTCTTAGTGGGAAATGAAATGTCATGGAAGACCTGAGGCATTTTTATTCAGTTTCAAGCCCTGTTCTCACAGCTGTGTCACCCATACGTAAGCTCTTTCCAGTGTACTGCCCAGGTGTTCTTCCCTTAACAGTCCAGGCATTTTCACACTGTCCTTACACCCTGCCTCTCACCCATGGAAGGGCAAGTGACCATAAGCAATTACCATCTCTCGCACAAAGAATTCCCCAGTTCTTAACTTTCCCATTTAAGATAGTTTCATCTCCTGCCTCAGTTGGGAGCTTCCCATTCTTCACCTGACCTCACCTATTCCATGGCAATCACAATCAAAGCATTTTCATACAGATGAAAAGCAAACATATGTTGACCCACAGATCAGGTCCATATGAAGATATGAGATTCATTTTATTTATCCGCACCATTTAAAGGTCACAAGCCAAAATACATTTCAGGGATATTGTACGAGTGGCAGTAAGGAGTTATTTCCTTTTTCATCTGAGTAAAGGTCAAGAAATAAAGAATTAAATCACAGCAGGAAAAGTGGGGTAGAGAGAAGATGGAATATATAGCTTTTAACTAGAAGAACTGTACACTGATTTCTCTTCAAAATTATACAGTATAGTAACTATCTTCCTTAAATGGTTTGATTTCAACATTGTTGGGGACATGCACTGGTCAAGATTATACTTTAGCCACATTTAAATTCTTAAATACTTAAATTCTGTCATATATGTTTTCCTGAAAATAAGTTACATGATTACTTCTCTCTATGTACTTTGATTTTTATTAGTTCCCATATCAATAAAACCAATGAACTGAGATGACAGCTGAAAAGGTTTCTATTATAACTACAGTAAACTTTATTATAGCTTGATTTGTCAAGGATAATACTGCTTATAATTAAAAACTATGATCAAAAAAATAACTCTTAGCCAGCATGAGGATATATTAAAAATTTTAAAAATACATATATATATATATATATATATATATATATATACATACATGTATATCAGATCAGAAAAAAATTTTCTCTTGGTAATAGAAATGAATTTTGTAAAACACGTCTATATTTGGTCTAATCCAAATAATAAGGTATCTTTGATGAGTTGATATTTGTCTCCCATTAAGTATTTTTGTAATTAGCAATTATGGTAAGCAAGAAGAACATTAACCATAGTTGTTTGGTCTCTTTGATCACAATCTTTACAAATACCTCTTACTACCCTTTTAATATCCACTATATTTATATATATATTTTATATATTTAACCCTTTAAATATCCACTAATATAAGGACACTATTCTGTTAATGATAATGGCTGGATTTTTACAATCATTTCATTTTGCCTTACATTTAAAATAAAAGCTCTGCTAACAGGTTTCTTTGTTTGTTTGGTTAAAGGCAGACAGTGTCCTTGGATTTGATGCAGAAGACAAAGAAAAGAAGATATATAGGTACAAAGAACATATGTACCCTTAAATAAAGTACATTAACAATGAAGAAATAGAATAAAAAGTTGCTTACGACAATGGTTGGCATGTACTTGTCATGCCTGGAGAAATATATAGGCAAAAACATCATAATGGACTATTACCTTTTGCTATCCTATGAGATTTGAATTAATTTGAACTTAACTTTCCTACTTGTTATCTATACTGGGTTTCCCAGTGCAGAAACTTCTCAATTGAATGATAGTATAGAATTTTGGAATTCATTTTTACATATAGTTTTATCACAATATAAGATTCCTGCATTATATACATAATATATACATAAAGAGTATATATTCTACTTTGAAAAACCTACTATAGTATACAGAAATTCCAACTTTAAAAATACTGAGACAGCAGAAGCAAGAAGAACTAAAATCCTGTAGCCTGCAGAACAAAAACCATATTCATGTAAAGATAGACAAGATGAAAAGGCAGAGGGCTATGTACCAGATGAAGGAACAAGATCAAAACCAAGAAAAACAACTAAATGAAGTGGAGAAAAGCAACCTTCCAAAAACAGAATTCAGAATAATGATAGGAAAGATGATCCAGTACCTCGGAAAAAGAATGGACGCAAAGATAGAGAAGATGCAAGAAATGTCTAACAAAGACCTACAAGAATTAAAGAACGAACAAACAGAGATGAACAATAACAATAACTGAAAAGAAAAATACACTAGAAGGAATCAATAGCAGAATAACTGAGTCAAAGGAACGGAAAAGTGACCTGGAAGACAGAATGGTGGAATTCACTGCTGTGGAACAGAATAAAGAAAAAAAGAACGAAAAGAAATGAAGACAGCGTAAGAGACCTCTGGGACAACATTAAATACAACAACATTCGCATTATAGGGGTCCCAGAAGGAGAAGAGAGAGAGAAAGGAACAGAGAAAATATTTGAAGAGATTATACTCAAAAACTTCCCTAACATGGGAAAGGAAATAGCCACTCAAGTCCAGGAAGTGTAGAGAGTCCCATACAGGATAAACCCAAGGAGAAAAATGCCAAGACACATAGCAATCAAATTGGCAAAAATTAAAGACAAAGGAAAATTATTGAAAGCAGCAAGGGAAAAATGACAAATAACATAAAAGGGAACTCCCATAAGGTTAACAGCTGATTTCTCAGCAGAAACTCTACAAGCCAGAAGGGAGTGGCATGATGTATTTAAACTGATGAAAGGGAAGAACCTACAGCCAAGATTACACTACCCAGCAAGGATCTCATTCAGATTTGATGGAGAAATCAAATGCTTTACAGACAAGCAAAAGCTAAGAGATTCAGCACCACCAAACCAGCCCTACAACAAATGCTAAAGGAACTTCTCTAAGTGGGAAACACAAGGGAAGAAAAGGACCTACAAAAACAAACCCAAAACAATTAAGAAAATAGTAATAGGAACATACATATCGATAATTACCTTAAACGTGAATAGATTAAATGCTCCAACCAAAACACACAGGCTCACTGAATGGATACAAAAACAAGATGTACATATATGCTGTCTACAAGAGACCCACTTCAGACCTAGGGACACATACAGACTGAAATTGAGGGAATGGAAAAAGATATTCCATGCAAATGGAAATCAAAAGAAAGCTGGAGTAGCAATACTCATATCACATAAAATAGACTTTAAAATAAGGAATGTTACAAGAGACAAGGAAGGACACTACATAATGATCAAGGGATCGATCCAAGAAGAAGATATAACAATTATAAATATATATGCACCCAACATAGGAGCACCTCAATACATAAGGCAACTGCTAACAGCTATATAAGAGGAAATCGACAGTAACACAATAATAGTGGGGGACTTTAACACCTCACTACACCAATGGACAGATCATCCAAACAGAAAATTAATAAGGAAACACAAGCTTTAAATGACACAATAGACCAGACAGATTTAACTGATATTTATAGGACATTCCATCCAAAAACAGCAGATTACACTTTCTTCTCAAGTGTGCACGGAACATTCTCCAGGATAGGTCACATCTTGGGTTACAAATCAAGCCTCAGTAAATTTAAGAAAACTGAAATCATATCAAGCATCTTTTCTGACCACAATGCTATGAGGTTAGAAATCAGTTACAGGGGAAAAAACATAAAAAACAAACCTCCCGAGGGCGCTTCCCGCCCGGCAGGAGGAGGAGCGGCTGCAGGGAGCTGAGCGGTGGTGCGGTGGCTGGACCTCCTCGTAACCCCGCCCACCCACCAATGGCTCGGGAGAAACCAGCGTGATCTTCCTCATGGGGAGCGGCCTCCCCCAACCCCGCGCAGCTGGTGCCTCCGGCAATCTCCACAAAAATGCACCCGTGTTAGACCGGCTGTCATCTAGAAATGCCCCAGGGTGCCCGACGAACAATCACGAACTTTCCTTCTGCGTATTTAGGCAGAAGTAGGACGCAAAGGGTCGGGTTCCCGTTTTGCTGCCTAATCCGGAGGCTCCAGTTTCTGCGGCTGCTTCTCTCGGGTGTTAACTGCCACGCCGTCGTCTGCTCCTTATGGCGACCTGGCCTTGAAGGAAGTGCCAGCCTTTTGCATCTTTACAGTAACAAGTCAAACCCCGAGCAGGGCTATTGTGAAAGAGAAGTTAGATTAGCCTCGTCTCCCGACTTTTGGACGCTCTCCTCTGAAAACCTTATAGCTGTGTTGCCAATTGATCCTGTTAAAGAAAATGATGTGCGTAAAGTGAAAAACTGTGTTTTTTCAATTGCCTTCCCCACTCCTTTCAAATCAAGAGTACATCTTGTAGCAGTTTCAAAGCAAGTGCTAGAAGATATTTTGGACCTTGATTTATCTATCTCAGAAACAGATGATTTTATCCAGCTTGTAAGTGGTGAAAAGATAGTACTTGGATCCATTCCACTGGCTCACAGATATGGGGGCCACCAGTTTGGGATATGGGCAGATCAGCTCGGCGATGGAAGAGCCCATCTTATTGGAATTTACATGAACAGGCAGGGTGAAAAGTGGGAGCTCCAATTAAAAGGCTCAGGAAAAACCCCATACTCCCAAAACGGCGATGGCAGAGCTGTGCTTCGTTCCTCCATGAGAGAATTTTTGTGTAGTGAGGCTATGT